TTTCATATTTTTCTGATTTTCTTTTGATTTATTGGAATTATTTTAGTGAAAAAACTCATTTTTAGCCTTTAAAAATTATTGTTAAGCTTTGAAATTCAATATCTTTATTTAGAAAATCAAGAAAAATATTCTAATTATTCATAAGTGATTAGGAAGCAATTTAGAACATTTCCATGAATTTTGTTATTTTTGTGTTTTTATCAATTTTTAATTATTTTAAATATTTAAAACAGGTTAAAAATCAAGTTTTTATTCTAAATATTATTTTATTTATATAAAATATCCCTGATCACAGAGAACTAAAGACACTGAGTTTCATAATTTTTTGAGTTATATTTTGATTTTTAAATAAATCTTTTAAGTGTCAAAAGTGATATTTATCTTTAACAATCAACTTAAGTTATTAAATAAACTCAAAATATTTTGAAATTTTTATAATGAGTTCTCCAGATTTGAAACCACAGTGGAGATCAAAAATCAAGTCATTTAAATGTTTATATTTTCTAAAATTAATTATTTTAGTGATTTAGTGTTTGTAAAATTTAAGTGCATTTAAAATGACTTGACCCATGGAATTATATCCAAAAGCTCCTCTAGTTATAGTGGAGCTTCCAAAATTTTCTTAGAATTTTCTAATCAATATGCTAATTTCCATGATTATTTTAAGGAAATATTGTGCAAGATCTTGAAAAAATATGTATCTCTGTATAGGAACCTCCTCTGACTTTGGAAAAATCAGAGGATGTTTCCCTTGACAGAGGCTACAACATGCCAAAATTTCAAGACAAGGTGATGTATCAATATGCATGGAGCATTAAATGATCCTAAACAATGTTTAATTAATTAAAAATATTTTATGCACCAATTGGACTTGAAGTTTATTCCACACTATTCTCCTCTGTTCACTAATTTTATTCCAAAAATTCATGGAGCAAGAGGGTATTTTTATTTTATTTTTGTGATTTCTCTACACAAAGTTGTGGATTTTTGAAGTTTAGGGATTTTAAATAAATAGAAAAGGCCCTATTTTTCTACTTATCCACGCGACGCCATGTAGATCCTAGGCAGCTCTGAAACTCCACGTGGCGTGCTCCTATTTGACGTAGTCGTCCACGCCAGCAGCCACGCGTCCTGCTGTTTATGTAAAGAAGAATTGTCTGGCTTCATCTTGGCCATCCATTTGATACAACGCGCGATCGGACGGCGCATGGGCATCGTCCCCAATGGCTTAAGCCGAGAGCCGTCCACCTTCAAGGCTTATGATCTCTAGCCTATGCTCAACCATATCACTTTGGGTTTGATCCTATGAACTCGACTAAGTGAGACGAACACATCCATAAGGTAATCATGCAATTAAATTAAGCCTAACCAAATGTAGAATCAAAATAAGCACGGGAGGGGGAGAATTTTTATACCCTGCTCTGAGAAGTGAAGCTTCAATCAGAGGGTCTTGGCACGTTCGTTGGGGTCCAAGGAGGCTAGATATTAAGCCTCTTACTGTGGTGTATGGCCTAGGTATGAATTCGACTAAGCTCGATTTCAAGTGTTGGTTTAGAGCTGTGGTGGAGGCTATTTCAGAGGGTAATTTGATGGGGCTTTGTCTACTCTTGCTGTTGTGAAGGTGTGGGCACAAGCAATTGAAGTTTGGTGGAGTTTTGAGAGATGTCCTGTTTCTGCCCTAATTTTTAAGCTCAAAATTAGGGCTATACAGTGGGAATCAAGGCAATGGAGTGATTGGAATGGGCTGTGGAGATCCCAAGAAAGCTTTGTGAGTGATTTGGGAAGCTCTCTCTTAGAAAATTTTAGCACACCTCCCATGGCCGTGGAGGTGAGTTTTTATAACAATGGCCATGGGGTGGCTCTCAGGGCACAAG